TATACAAAAACCCCAAAACCCCAAAACCCCAAAACCCCTGGATAATAGTTTTATGCTGGATTTTTGAATTATGAAATTAAGATATTAATTTGATATGAGTTGATCACTCATAAAATCATTGACGTCATTTAACCTTTAATTTCCAGGATTTCTTGAGACCTTCTGCGAATCCTCTTGTCAGTTTGATCAATATGCTCTATGGGACAAGGTCCAACATGAAATTCTTTACCAAAAATCCATGAATCTCATGAACCCAACCTCCAAAAGTCACAAAGCTTGTAGCGTTATTGAGAGTACCTGTGGCACAAGATTAAACACCTATAACTGCAAAGGGAACTTCTGAAAATCCGTTCAAACCTGTTGAGACAGCACCTGGTAACAATCCAAGAACATCTACACCAGTGCCTTTCATTTCATAGTAAAGTGATTTAGTGAACTTGTCATCAAAGTTTTTGCTCGAGCAATACCCAGCAAGATATGGATTTGGGATGAATGTAATTTGAGAGGCCACGTTTAGAATCAAGGATCTCTTGCCAGTTTTCTTGTATCTTAGCTTCAATCTGTCAACCAAGAGCTTGGTGAGAATCACAATAGGATAGCAGTTCACTACAACCTCAGCGTGAACATCTTTCAATTAATGATTTTCTTGATCATCAGGTTTGTTTGACATACCAACATTATTGATTAAGATAGATACATCAATATCATCAAGCAGTCTGACTATATGTTCGTAAGCTGCAAAGCTGGTTTCCTTGCTAAAGTCAAACACAATCATTCTAGTGTCTCTACCGTACTTATTCTAAATATCCTTAGCCACAGCAGCTAATTTCTCAGAGTTTCTGGCTATCAGAACAATGTTGAATCCTCTCTTGGCTAATTCTAGAGCAAGAGCCTTACCGATTCCATCAGTACTGCCAGTAACTACAGCCCAGGAATTTTCTCCATATCTCTGTGGAGTTACCTTTGTGCCTAGGAAGAGATTTCTGATTAATACTAATCCTCTCCATGCCCATTTCAAAAGGACTAATGCTCCAATTGTGAAGCATACCAATTCCATACAATCACAGTGCGACATATTTATAGGTATTAATTATAAGAGTTATTTTGAAAATCAACAATATCCTTAATTCCAAAATTAAATTCCACTTTGAGGGGTTTTGGGGTTTTGGGGTTTTGGGG